ATTTATCTCATATTTCATATGGACATGAGCAGCGTGGAAATAACGGATATTTATGAGCATGTTCTGCACACGTGTAAGCCAGTTTGTGGTGAGGCTGCCTTCAGTCTACTAGAGCTGCGATTTCTAACCTGAGCCCGGCCCGACCCAAAACTCAGGCCAAAATAATGTGTTTGACGGGCGGGCCAGGTCAGTCTCGGGCTTTGATACGGTTTTACGAATCATACAGCACAAAAGAAAACTAAATAAGAATGCATGATATAAATTTGTGTTAATCTACTTGTTGAGGAGGAGACAGGTCCGACCAGCCGGTTTAAGAGGTAAAAAAAAAAAAAAAAAAGAGTCCACTTATAAGTTCAGATGGATCAGCTGATCACCCGCCGCATGCATCTCCACACCTGCCGTCATCTGTGGTGAAGTATGAAGCTAAAAAAGCTGAAGCGTTCAGCACGTTCAATGAAAATAGGCTTGTTCAATATTGTTGTTCATCTGTATAATCTTTAGTTGTTTTTTTTAGGCTATTTGTTTTGAATGTTAATATCTATTTGATGACTTGTTAACAAAAAGAAATACTATATCTTCCTTTCGTTACATTTTTAAGACTATCATGTCAAACTGATTTGCTTAAAGCAGTAAAGGCTTAATTAAAAAAAAGGTTTTTTTCAGGTTCGGGTCTGTAACTACAGTTAATCGGCCAGTCTGAGTCAGGTTTGGAAAAAAAAAAACTACGGGCTCGGGCTGGGTCAGATGTTTTAGGCCCAAATGCAACTCCATACACAACATTGACGAGCAGGGACTGAGACTGTTGCTATACACTAAGTTGAGTTTTTCAATGTAATTTCTGTCTATTGGATTTCCTTTCACCCTGGACATGTCACCAGTTCATCACAGGACCACATAGACAGACAAACATCTACACACCCTCACTGACACTTTAAAGTTACCAATGAACCCAACAATGTTTTTGGTCCGAGAGAAAACCAGAAAAAATCCTTGTGCATGAAGAGAACATGTTAACTCCACAGAGAGAGGCCCCAGCCAGCTTGTGAACCTACAGCCTTCTTGCTGTGAGGCGACCGCTGCACCGCCGTTCTGCTTTGTTAAATTTAAAACAAATATAAAACAAACTAACCTGTGCACATTTTCTCACTTTTACATAATTTGCTCAAGTATTATAGTTTTTATACACATGAAGTCAATGCATGGAGAAGTTAGCCCAAGAAATTCTTGAAACAGGTAAAAAAAAAAAATTTAAAGGGGGGGGGGGGGGGTGTGTTACATTTTCACCTCCTACCTTCCTCATGGGTCTCCACAGTGAGTGAACTCACATAATTTGGCAATTGATTTCACACCAAATTCCATTCTTGGTGCAACCACCGAGCTACCACGGCCCACAGCCGGGGAAGCAGCTGGGGGTGGGGGGTCAGGGCCTTGATCAAGTGCCCACAGTGGAAAAAATGAGGGTAGAGTATCAGCACTATCCCTTTCCCACCCAAACTTTGTTGTAACAGTCCAGGGATTTGAACCTGCAACCTCTCAATCACAAGCAATGGTGTCATTAAGATGTTGAAGGAGAAACGAGAAGTTTTTAACCAGAGTGCTGTTGATGTTTTTCCCAGTTTAAAATTCATGTGATAACTTAGACTGTCACCTGTTTATTTATTTATTTTAATCTTTATTTCACCTGGAAAATCCCACTGAGATTAAAAATCTCTTTTGCAAAAGAATCCTGGCCAAGACCGGCAGCAGCACACAGAGGTTACACAACATTCACAGCAACAACAGAAAAAGTTAACTCTGTCAAAAATAAATTAATTAAGTTTATAAAAACAAAATATGACAAAAGGCACCACACATTTTTAACGTGTAAAATACCATTATTAGGAAAATATTTACCTCTAAATCTACAATATTTATTTATTTACAAATTTATACAATTACATGTGAGCTTTATAATTATTTTTCTAACTTATACTTTAATTCTTTAGTTTTCACATACTTCATTCTTTCAAGCCTTCAATATTTTTATTTATTACTGTATTTACTAATAGAAATAATTTAATTTGCTTTACTTTTGTCTTAAAAGCAATGAGGCAACAATGATTGGGACCAAAAAGTCGTCATTTAATTTCATTTTATTTTACAACACTATGACAAATTCAGAAATTTGTACAAATCTGACGGATTCTTTTCAAAAAGCACTATTAACAAGGATTTTTTTTTTTTATGTGTAGTTCTCTGCCCAAAGCATAAAAAACAGACTGAAAAAACTTTAAATACTCTCAAAAACTGTCCACCTTTAGCCTTTTACACAATATTACATTTCCACGTACAAAAGATTTCCATTAAAGGCTACAGTTGAAGTGCTAAAAGGACAAGATTAGATTATTTGTACCATCAGCCCTCAGGTTTGAGCACAGTGATGTAAGCAAGGACTTAAAGAGCACCTGATGTAAAGTAAAAAAAAACTCATACCTCAGTAAAGTCCTTCTGATTAGACCTGAAAGGTTAGGCACAAAATAATAAAAAATAAATCAAATATCTACTACCAGTGTTTGGTGTCTTATCAAGTTTTCTTTAGAGAATGAAAACGATGGAGAACAGTTAAAACATTTTTAAGGACTCCATTTTGAATAAATTCATTAACTTAATAGTTTCTAAGAAACAAAACATCTTTGGTTTTGCGACAAATACTGTAGTTACACAAACTACATTTACCATCAACAGATTTTTAAAATCAGCTGTTTGATATGTTTTAATCTATTTAACAGGGAACTATATTTACACCCCCTGCAGAATCTTGCTGCTGTGATTTAACAAAAGTACTGAAAGTTCACAGGGCGTGTGCACGTGATAGCTAAACAAACATGCAGCGCTGGCTGCCACATGATAAGGCTTGGACTGAAGCTTCAGCGTAAAAACTTTCCACTGAAAATGGACAAAACTGTGTCACTTGTCCCCAAGGACAGTAGGACTGATAAACACTTACCCTGATTTGATTTTAAGGATGACTCGGACTGCGCCTCCTTCGATAAAAACTGATAATGGTGAGTCAGACGTGGAGGTGGAATAAAACAAAACTGAGGAGGGAGCCAGGGACACTCTTTAAAAACATAAAAAGTCTGTCCGCAGCCACTTCGCAGCATGTGTGCGCATATATTTTATATAGTACTCAGTGAAAAGGAGGCTCGAGTGTGCTCGACTTCTTGTTTTTCCTCCTTTTCTCTTTGCTCACCTCAACACTTGAGTTGTTCTGCAAAGCTGACGTTAAAAGGAGCACTGCTTCTTCTTCAAGCGCTGAGCGAGACAACACCAGCTCCTTGGTTTTAAAGTCGAAAGTAGCAGATGTTACCACCTCAACAATAACTGCCATAAACAACAAAAATAAAGGAAGTGTGTACATTCAGCTACACCTTTATTCTGCAACTCCTGGGGAGTGCCAACTAGGCCTGTCACGATAACAAATTTTGCTGAGCGATTGTCTCAGAAATTATTGGCATAAACGATAATATTGTTTGAAACTTAACAACAATTACCGGTAGTAATTATTGTCAATTTTAAGAAGAAATGTTGGTTCATTTTTGAATGTAGTAACTTTTTTGACCACCGGATGGCAGTATAAGACGGTTTGAACCAAAGGATGGATAGTGAGGGAGCGAGCAGTGTGTCTCTTTAATAAAAATGTGAGGGAGGCCCCTTGACGTGACATGGGCTGTCTCTCCTTCCTGTTTTTCAATTCTCAAAATGGTGGATGCTCGGTGTGGTTTGAGCCCTTTAGCATTTGTCACACAAAGCTTTTAATAAAAAACAGTAAACAAGTTCTCAGCTTCTTTTTTCAGAGAAAAACAACTTTTTTACACAAAGGCACGGGTTTCAATCGTGAATTTTGGGGCTTCGACAAAACTGAAGTTTTTTTCCGAGGTCGGCCTGTTAGCTTAGCTTGTAGCTTAACTTCTCAGCTTAGCTGCTTTTAACGATCCATAAATGTGATTTTGGACGGTTAAATGGATTTTAAAGAGAAAAGAAAAAAGACACGGAAGGGTCAGTGAAGAGCACCGGAGTTGAGCCTTTTGTCATCCAATGTCTTCAGTAGAAAGAGAGAGAGAGACATGAAGACATGATAAAGCAGATTAATGAAAATGAGGTTGATAATTGTAATTTATCATCTGATGATTTGATTTATTGTTTGTTGCGACAGGCCTAGTGCCAACTCTTAGTTGGTGTCTGTAGATGATGATTTAAAAAAAAAGAAAAGTAGTCGGCTGTGCGGCCGTGCAGCTGCTCACACAGGAAGTCGACGAGGCAGACAACCTCACATCCTGCCTGAGCTCTGGAAGAAAATAATTCCTCCTTAACAAACAACAAGTGCAAAGATCTCACACATAAAGGTGTTGGGCAAAAGAAAACATACTACACATTATATCCAATAAAAATTAAACGCAAACAAGTACACAGTGATGATAACATGAATATTGCTTCAATCATTTCGGGGGATTACGATCAAAAAGCATGTGAAGTGAATCAGATGAAATAAGAAAGCAAAGAAACTCTCCTGAGTTTTCGTCGTTCAAGTTTGAAAACAACAAAAATCAAGTCAGGATCTCCGGTAATGGCTGTAATTAACCCTAAGGTCCAAAAAGATTGTTTTCCAACAGGCACCTTGTGTTGGCTGCGTGTGTTTGATGCTGCTCAGGTAGTGACCTCATCAAATGTCCCCTTTGAGTGGTGTGAACTTGAAGGATGATGCAGACGCTGACTTCTCTTCAAACTGGCAAACAGCTGAGACTAACAGCAGCTCCTTCAAAACTTTGGGAAGTAGAACAGAAGCCTCCTCCCACCCACCAGCATTACATAATAACCCCCCCAATCCAGTCTGTTTGTCTCGGGACATCACACTTTGACAAAATGCTCACACCTCAGCAGTACGGCGGAGCTCGGCAGCTTCGTTTGTCTCAGCATCAAGCCTGTGCGCCCCCACCCCCCACCCCCAGCCCCCATTACCATCAGGGCTTCTTGGCTGCAGTTTGGGCTTTCCCGTTGGGTCCTGTTTTGATCTGGGTCATCTCCACATCTGTCAGGGCATCGGGGGGAAGGCAGGAACGCATGCGTTCTATGGTCCTCTGGTAAGATACCCTCTCCTGCTCCAGGGAGCGAATCATGTGCTTCATTTTACTCTCCCGGGACAGGAAGCTGTCGACGCTCGTCTCCAGCGACTGGATCTTCTGCCGAGCGGCCTAGAGGACGCAGAATTAGACTTCAGTCAACACAGACGCAAAATAGACACAGATGTTACAGAGCAATAACTTATTTTATATTTAAACTGTGGAACAAGATGTTTTAAAACAGTGTAACCAGTTGGGATCGTTGTTACTGCTGAAGGAGAACGACAGTGTTTGTGAATTATCACACGGGGACAGATTTCCATGAAACTCTGAGAAAGTAATCATTGAGTGAGCATCTACACCCGTTTACCTTTCAGACTCAGCAGCGTTTAAAATGGCCACTACGGCTAAGCAAAGTTGAAAACTGCAAAAATGATCAGAACGTAGTAGCTGAGCATTTTCTACAAAACATACTCCGAGCACTACACGTTGCGTAATTCAATTCAATTCAATTCAAAAACACTTTATTAATCCCAAAGGGAAATTATTTGTTGTAGTAACTCGTTATCCTCATTTCATTAAGAGATGTTATAGATACTGATGGCTGTAAACAGGAAGGATCTCTTGTAAAGGTCCATCCCACAGTGGATCCTAACAAACTGGCTGCAGATGTCGTCCGATCCGTCCACCCAGACTCGGCTGGCCTCTCGGTTCCCCCGGGCTGTAGGACTGCCTGAATGCTGGGCAGAACTCCTCCCAGAGGGATGACCACTCCTCCCAGCAGTCTGCCGAGCTCCTCATAGCTGTGGACAGACAACTGTAGGTGCTGAGGGACGATCATGTCCTTCTACTGTCATGAGCCGTGTTTCCTGCTAGTTGCGGGATCTCAGTGGTCAGGCACTCAAGCACAGCTGGCAGGTAGATGAGAATGCATCCACATAACATCCTTTTCAACTCATTTGAGAGTTGGGGCCGTAGTTGAGATATTATTTGAGCTTTTGAGATGTTAGTCAGCTGCTGTTGTTGTAAAAACCTCCTTGTTGCTATGGTTACGCATCATAACAAATGTCCAAAACAAAAAAAAGTCTCAGTAAAAATTCTTCCAGCTGCACAGCATCTGATACCAGAGGAAACAATCACACAAAAAATGTGATTTACATCCAGAAAACCAGGAATTAAGTTTCTAAAAGCAAAATCTCAGAATGAAAGTAACAGAGCTGCTCCAACATGCAGCCACCTTGAGCGGCGCAATTCTAGAATTCTGCTTAAATTCTGCTGATATTCCTGCTTAAAACCTAACCTGTAACTATTAGAGTGAACTGTGTCTGTCTGTTAGCAAAATATCATATGAACCACTGGGTGGATTTTCATGAAACTCTCAGAAAGTTATCACTGGGTGAACATCAACACCTGATTAACTTTTGACAACAACCAAGTTCAAGATGGCCACCACAGCTGATCAACGGTAGCAAATGCAAGAATGGCTACAACCCAACAGGGGGCGAACAGACTAGTCGACTAGTCGGTTGTATGACATCTCACAAGTTTTAACATTTCATGTCGACTAGTCGCAGTCAGTGATTGTGTCACGTGATCAGCGCCGGGCCGCTGGATACAAAAAGGATTCTTGCAAGCAGATGGAAGGTGCGGAGCAGGACAAGTCTTCCTGAACGGGTAAAAAAATCATCAACAGTGTGGAAGTATCTCACTAAATATGATGCTTTTATTTTATTTAGTGGATTAAATGAAATAAAACTAACTTTTGCAGCTAAATAGTTTTGGTTTTCCTGTGACTTATTTGCAGTATGATAAATGGAAGGAGCACAAATATATGCTCCAGGTGTTTTGTTGTTCTTTATTTATAAATAATAAATTACCTTTTTTTTTGTGTGTTTTCTTTTTTTTTTTGCGTCTTGACATCATCAACTAGTCGACATCGACTCGACTATTATCATGTTAATGTCGACTTTTAAAATTATGTAGTCGTTCATCCCTTATAACCCAATAAGTTTAACAGATATTGAGCTACAATTTGGTACGGAGGTAGCTGAGAGTCATCCACAATTCAAACTTTTATAAGATCTTGCAAGGTTTTACAATATTCCATAAGACTGTAAAATTTTACAAGGTTTGATCAAAATACATCTTACTCTAAACCGCTGGCATGAAAAATATGCTTTATTTTTCAAGAATCCTGGTCTTATAATTCATACTAACTTAATGTTTCTTTTGTAAATCTCTGGTGACATTTTGCAGCAGCGGTGTTCCAGCTCTTCCAGAGTACAGGTCATGTCGCTCGTGTTAATCAAGAGCAGCTCAATAAGTTAAAGTTTTAGGTCCTTGTTGACAGATTCACACTCATTAAAATGATGAAGCAACATGAGAACTCTGTGTTGTCGTGATGTCTTCACTGTTTTCAGCTTATGTTTTAGTGCCATCTATGGGCAGTCTGAAACATGGACTGTTACGAAAAAAATCAGTTTCTCCTAAATGTCACATTCATACCGTTCAACCAACAGAGATCTTTAAAATCCAAACAGTTGTAATGTAAAAGAAAGGTGACTCTTCTCTTTCTCTTTCTTACTTGGAGTTTTTCCAGCAGCTCCATGTTCTGTTTCTTTAACTGCACGTTGGTTTTTTCTAATTTGTCGAGGCGGTCCGAGTCGTCGGGCAGCGCTCCGGTGGTCTCCAGCAGCTCATCCTGCAGGACGTTGTACTCCACTTCATATGTGTGCAGCTGCTTGGAGATGTCCATCTCCATAACCTGAGCATGAAGACAAACCACAGTGAGAAGAAGGCCCTTTGGCTGATGAGCGATTAAACTGGTTTAGTCATTAGCATTTTCACAAAAACAGTTTAGAAGATTTGAGACAAAGTTTTGATATGAGAGAGATATTTAGTGCTAAATTACATAAATGTCCGATGTTCTCTACTCTCAGCAGCAAAAATGATCATTTGTGCTTTAAAAACAACTCACCACACATCATAATGCTTAAAGAACATAGTTTAGATCATTTAAAATTAAGTTTTGTGAAAACGTTATTAACAATTAATATCTTACCTGCTGTAGATAACCTTTTGAACAAATTTATAAAGAAATAGATTTTAATTCTGACCAGAGTGAAGAACTGACGGCTTGTTTAAGAACCCAGACCCATTTCTACATTTGTGAAAATTATGGGGTTGTAAAATATAACAAATGGATTATATGTAACACATTTCTGAAGGTTTTTTTTTTTTTTTTATACTTCCACCTACTGGCACAGGTCTGAAATGTGACATACATATCACATGGGGCATAATTAGTAAATTTATTCCACATTTGGAAATAGATTGTCTAAACAGTTGTTTTGTTTTTAACACAGAATTTTCTTTTTATTCGCAACTTCTTAACACGTATGATGATCACAACATTGCTTGGTTTTGTTTAACAAGTACTTCTTCTTCGTCAAAAAAAAAAAAACTATTGTGTTAAATATGTCGCATGGAATTTTTTTGTACAATTTAGTTTATTGCCCGATGTGACATATATGTCACAACAATATTCGACAAACCTATTATTGATCAAATTAATTTAGAAATGTCATCAAACCAGGTTATATGTGAGCTATGACATGTTATCTAAGGATTAGCATCATTGAAACGGTGGAAACTCACCTTTGGTAAAAGAACATAAAGTTTCTAAAATTAGCTCAGTGGTCACATTAGCTGCCCAGGTGAACCAAGACTTTGGAAATGATGTCATCAGTACCCAGAGTCCTTCACTAGTCACATGACTGAATCAGGATGTTCAGTAGATGTCACTTAGTGACTTCATTAAAAGTCAATGTTAAACCTTAATAAGAAACTTTTCTCAATTTTAAAAAGGGGCGGTTTACGCAGATCCAAGACTGAAGTGGATTTCTGCTGCTTAAAATCAACACTGGTCTGAAAAATGTGAAAAACATTTATGCAAACCCTATTTTATAAAACTATCCATCATCATCAGTTTCAAAGCGTATGACTATTTTGGCAGAAATTTGACAGCAGTCCTGGTGGAAGTGCTCCGGGAAGCACCAGAAATGCTACAGCTAGCTGCTGAGTTTGCAAATACTCCCAGCATTCTTTGTTAATAACAGTAACCAGCAGCCTGGAGCACTTTCAGCAGGAATATTGTAACATTTCTCCCCAACAACCATGTAAGGCAAAAACAATGATGATGTGTAAAAGTTGATAAAACAGCTCTTGGATGAACCACTACAAAAAAATTGCAATTGAAACAGTTTTACGATGGCAGCCATCCACTCTGATCTTAACTCCACTCAAACTAGCAGTCAGGTCCTCAGACTGATCAGAATTAAACTGAAGTTCTTCTAAACGAGGTCATTCAAAGATCTTCCTACAACAAGTCGGATATTACCGTATTTTCCGCCATACAAGTCACTCTGGCGTATAAGTCGCATCTATTAATCGACACCGCTAACCACCCGGAAACGTGGGCCGGTGTTGTGCCAAAAATGGATTGGCTGCTAAAATGGCAGCCACAGGAGCGTGCACGGGAGGACTTTAACAAGAATTTAACCAGATTAACACTTAAAAACTATTATTTGTTTGCTTGAAATTATAGCAAAGGTGTGTCTCAGCTGAACTTTTCCTTAATAAATGCACTTTAATGATCAAATCAGCTGCATTTCTCCTGGGCAGCGCGATGAAATGCAGCTGATTTGACGTTTGCTCCAGGAGTTCCAGAGCGAGACGAGTGTGGCTTTGTACGGCAAGCCAAGTGTCTCATCAATAGCCACTTTTACCTATTAATGAGACACTTGGCTTGTCTTTTTTTTTTTTTTAGTTTTCTACACCGCCTTATAATCAATTTTTTTTTTCCTCGCTACTTTTCCTTTTGACTGTGCTCTTGGTTGCTATTTTATTTTGATTTGTAAAAAAATAAAATAAATTTAAATTTTGTATGCCTCTTTTATGATTGTCTATTGTTATCATTGTTATTCGCTGTTGTCATTACTCTTTGTTAAGAATTCAGACCTCTCTTGTAAATGAGTCTCCGAGGCTCAATGGTATTAACCTGTCTAAATAAAGGTTGAATGAATATTAGTTGAGGGCCCTCTAGTGGCTGAAAACGGTAGTATTCAATATTTTTCATGTCAGAATGAATGAAATTGTCAGATCTCAGCCAAAAATTGGGTTATAAATATGGGGAAAAAACATATATTAGTCACTTCAGTGTATAAGTTGCAGGACTTGCAAATTTATGCAAAAAGGTGCGACTTATACAGCGAAAAATACGGTTAACTCGAGTTCTTCTAAATGAGATAATTCAAAGACCCAAAAAAGTTCAATCTGGTCCTCTGGACATTCAAAAAACCAAAAAAACAAAACAAAGCAAAAAAATCTAGAAACGTTTCGTCTCTCATCCAAGAGACTTCCTCAGTCTGAGGTGCTGTTTTCAGCTCAGTCTCTTAAATAGCACCTTCTCAGAGTGGATCAACCATCCTGGACAGAGAGGAACAATGGTTTGAGAGAGGAGTAAAGGAGGCCATCTTTGTGAAAAAAAATCGTCCATCATTAAACAGGGGTGGAGGCCTCCGGGTTCAACTGTCCCCCTCTTACAATGTTGTGATTGCTAGTATCACTCAGCCCTCTGTGAGTAGTAAACAGCCATCAATGTGCTAATGATCCATTGTTAGGCTGATGGTCCTTCTTGAGCATGTGATCAGCTGGTTTTGGTTGTCAGCAGCAAAACTGGTTGATCCACTCTGAGAAGGTGCTATTTAAGAGACTGAGCTGAATACAGCACCTCAGACTGAGGAAGTCTCTTGGATGAGAGACGAAACGTTTTTAGATTTTTTTGCTTTGTTTTGTTTTTTTGAATGTCCAGAGGACCAGATTGAACTTTTTTGGATTTTTCTACCTGGATTATTGAGCATGCATCAGGAAATTCAAAGACCTGTTTACAACACGTCAGATATTGTTTATTACCAAAGAACCCCACTTTTAAAGATTTGATTTGTCGTTATAATCATCTGAAAACCTCCTGTGAGTGTTTTATGTTACTTGTGTGTACCTTAGCAATGGTCTGTTCCATCTGTGTTTGTGTGAGAGTTGGGAGTGTGGTTTTCAGATAGTCCACGATGCTCTCAAAGCCATCACACTCCACTATTTGCCTCTCATGGCTGCTCAGCAGACAGAGGGCCACCTTAAAGATCACCTCAGTCCCCTGTGCAAACACAAAATCTAACAAAACAACATCAAGACAAATTAACACCTGAAGCAGTAACCATCACGAGCGTCCTCCTTTGAAAGCAGAACTGCACTTCGGCAGTGAGCCAACACACAGGTCATGGTGCAGGATATCTACCAAAGATGCGAGACACAAAGCCGAGGGGAAACTGGGAGGCGAAGAGTGTAAGGAACCACGGCGCTGCGTAAAGGCTCGGGCAGATCTCGTGCTCCTCAAAGTGACTGTACAAGTCACGGTGGTAGTCGTGCAACAGCCTGGAGAGCTGGTACATCTGAATCTGAAATAAAACAGAAAAAAATAGAGGCAAGCTCAGGTCACAACATGCTGGGTCAAACAAACAGGAATATCTGGATCTCTAAAGTATCTAAGCGCAATCTAAGAAGTGCAAACTGACAAATGAGGTTCCATCCAGGCACTGAGCTCCTCATGTGTCTGTTAAAGGGCTTGCTCAGACAAGCACTCAGGTCAGGCTTGTGATAAGCTGCGCTAACTCGACAGCAAAGAACAGAGCAGTTAAAAAAAGGAGAAGCAGAAGTTAGCTCAGGCTAAAATTAAACTGCCTGCTTTTACAACCCTCGTACCCAAAAAAAAAAAAAAAAAGTATTCATACCTTTACCTCCTCAAACAGCATCAAAAACCCGACACCAACACGTGTGTGTGCAAACTTCAGACAAGTCTTGACAATAACAGACGTGCAGTGAAGGAAACACCAGCAGGCTTGGCTCAACTGGTTACCTGCAGAAGATTAAACATTACCACCCTGCTGATGCTTCAACTCCACCGAGGTCAGCTGATGTTTAACTGAAGCTAACAGAGCAGGTGTGGTTTGACAGGGAGGTGGAGACTTGCTGCTCCTCACTCATAAAACTATAAAAAGTTTTGCAGCAGACAGACTGCTGCTGAAAAGGGGAATAAGTTTATTCACGCTGTTGTCCTCGTATTGTTTCAAACAAGAGAACATTTACTGAATATGTAAGGATAACATTTGCATATATTTAATATTTAATATGTGTAGATTGGGAATTTGCATGTAATATTTTAAAGCATGACAATACAAACTATTTGTCCACTGTATAAAATATATAAAGACAATATATCTAATGATAAAAGAGAAAAAACAACTTTACTGAAGTTCATACGCATTTTGAAACTGATGAAAACAGAAAATTACAAATCATCTGTGTGGAAATATATTTTATTATCTTGTCACATGAGAACTGTATAGACCAAGTTCTGTTGCCCTTAAAGCAAAAGTTCAGATTTTCTACAGTGGAGCTCTGTGGAAAAGTTATGAACTATTAATATCGTACCTGCTGAAACGATCTCGGTTCAAAGGAACAGGGTTTAACTCTGACAGAACAGACAAGCTAAAGCCTCGTCCAAGTGAGGTGAGGCTAAGACCAAATAATATCGTGTATGTCTTAAAACAACTCCAGTCTCAGTAAATTTAATTCAGTTCATCCATCCATCCATCCATTTTCTTTACCCGTTTATTCCATTTTGGGTCACGGGGGTCGCTGGTGCCCATGTCCAGCAATCACTGTGCGAGGGGCGGGGTACACCCTGGACGGGTCGCAAGTCCATCACAGGGCCACATGGAGACAAACGAGACAAACAATCATTCACTCTCTCACTCACACCTAGGGACAATTTAGAGTTACCAATCAGCCTAACATGCATGTTTTTGGTCTGTGGGAGGAAACCGGAGTACCCGGAGAAAACCCACGCATGCACGGAGAGAACATGCAAACTCCACCCAGAAAGGCCCCTGGACCGGGGTTTGAACCTAATTCAGTTCAATTTAATTCAATTCAAAAATACTTTATTAATCCCAAAGGGAAATTAAATGTTGTTGAATCTCATCTTCATAGATTCATTAAAGAGTTGTTCTAGATGCTGATGTCTGTGGGCAGGAAGGATCTCTTGTAGTGGTCTGTCTTACAACAGATCTGAAGAAACTGGTTGCATGTTGAGCCGTCTACTTGGACTTGGTGGGTTTCTTGGTCCTCCTGGGCAGCAGGACCACCTGAATCTTGGGCAGAACTCCTCCCTGAGCGATGGCCACTCCTCCCAGCAGCTTGTTGAGCTCCTCGTCATTGTGGACAGACAACTGCAGGTGTCGGGGGATGATCCTGGTCTTCTTGTTGTCATGAGCCACGTTTCCTGCAAGCTCCAGGATCTCAGCAGTCAAGTCACTCGAGCACCTCCGCCAGGTAAACGGAGATGCATCCACGGCGCCTCCTTTACAACTCATTTGTGATGTGGGGCTGTAGTTGAGGTAATATTTGAGCTTTGAGATGTTGCTGCTCCCAGTTGTAGAAAACCACCTTGTTGTCATGGTTACGCATCATAGCAAATGTCCAAAGACAAAAATATTTAAAGAAAAATCTTTCCAGCTGCACAGCATCTGATATCAGAGGAAATAATAATAAATTTTAAAAAGCGATTTACATCCAGTAAAGAGGAATTAAAGTTTTCAAATGCATCATCCCAGAACGAAAGTAACAGAGCTGCTCCATCATGTAGCCACATTGAGTGGCACAATTCTAAAACTATCTTCTTTTAGTAAGACTGGAGCACTTTTAAGCAGAAATATTATTGATGGAATAATTGTGAAAAGAAAATTTGATGATGGTTTATAATCTTGTGTCTGAATAAACAGCAACAAAACCAGAGACTCGAGTTATAAAGACTGTACCAGCTGTCAAGCATGGTGATGGTAGCATCAGGCTGTGAGGCTGCTGCAGTGCACACACACACACAAACACACACACACACACACACACAAAACATTACAAGAGGAAGAAACCCTCTGAATTATTCAAAACGGCAACAATTGTTTTAGTCTCAGGTTGGAGCAACAGTGCTCATCATTCCGATCAGAAATAAATAATTTCTCCAACTGAGGCTGTTCAAAGAGCTATTTAGTTTAGAGCGTTAGGCACCTACTAATAAAAAGTAATGAGTATTTTTACTTTCTACAAGATCTGGGCTATAGACGTGTCAGCTTCAGAACAGGCTGTTATATGCAGAACTGGGTCAAAATGATCTTTCTAAATAGAGAAAGTCTTTCATGAGAATAAAAAATGTTTCATGGGTGGCTGCATATGTTGCTTCAAAACCTGAATCTTATAAAGTTGACAGGTGTGTAGGTTACACCTCCATGTGTTTTTATACTGCCATGCCAATGTGGCTGGTAGCTTATAAACTGTGCCATTTCAGCTTTTTGATTCGTCCAAACATCCATCCATCCATCCATTATCTTTACCCGCTTGTTCCATTTTGGGTCACGGGGGTCGCCGGTGCCCATGTCTAGCAATCACTGTGCGAGGGGCGGGGTACACCCTGGACGGGTCGCAAGTCCATCACAGGGCCAATCGTACAAACAATGGACAGTTTTTCACACAGCCCTCCAAAACACGTTTTTTTAATTTGCAAACTATTGATTTGATCTAAATTTACCAATGTATCAAACAATGATATTCAGGAGTGCACCTGAGCCCACGCAGAGATTTTCTACTTCAGAATGCTGCCAGTTTATCATGCAGTGATGTCTGAGGCCTAAAATTTACAACTATTTTTTAAAAACAACAAAAAAGGTTGAATCATGTCATCTGGACTTCGTTTTTTTGTTAAAAAAGAAACGTTTCGCCCCTCATCCAAGAGGCTTCATCGGTCTGAGGCCTAGCCATCTGGTATTACCCAGAAGCCACCCTGACTCTTGTGTTCCAAGCCTGCCTCAGATACCCCTGAAGTCTGGCCTTTTCACTAATGGTTTCAAAAACATTTAGCTTAAATGTGCCAAAAGCTATTTTTTAAAAACTTATTCTCTTTTGCATAAACAATTCTTTACATCGTAGAATTTTTAATAACATTGAACAGTGAAGATGATTCCAAAAATTATTTGCAGGTCTTTGAACTTGAATAAACAAAGATTTTTTTTAACAACTGTCAACTTTATAAAGCGCTCGTTCAAATATTGAAGCAACGCAGCCCAAAAGTTCAGTTAAAACCAAATGTTTTGTTTCATATCTCTAAAAAGATCAAAGCTTGGTTTGCCAGAATGAAATGCAGCAGAAACTAGTGCTCAAATGTTACAACAGTCTAAGTCTGATGTAGTTCTGCTAAGATGTTAAAGTGGTTCATTAGTTCGTGCACCAACCTGTAGAGAGACCATGTCCGGCCTGTACTGCCGTCTGATGCCGAGGTCATACATGAGGAACTTCAACATGTCAAAAGCCTGTTCTTCACTCATGTGGAGCAGCAGAACTCCGGCCACAAAGCTGATCCCTTGACAGTAGCCAACCTGTGCAGCACAAAATAATGTGAGTGCTATAAACAGAACATGTGATGATCAGAAGTGAAGGGCAGTTGTACCTCTGTATCCAGCAGAGAGTAGGCCTTCAAGAGGTTGTAGAGAGAAAGCTGCCCTGCACCGAGCTGGGCAGAGAAGTACTGGTGTGTGGGGAAGGTCCGTCCTAAGGAGGAAGACATATTTGTCTTTTTTATACCATCTAATAGATATAGATACAATGAAAAAAAAAAAAAAAAAAGAAGCTTTAACTGGAGGTGAACCGATTCCAATTTTCCAATCTTGTACATTAACAACTAAAATATATACTCCTGAACTCTTGAGCAGGAGATCAGCGACTCCCAGGCATCTACAGCATCTAACAGATCTGGGGTTCAGAATAAACTGGACCAAAAGCTGCTAGATCCCTGAATGTCACTTTAATTAGACATATGACAACCAACAAAGTCCATGCTCAATAATCCAGGTGTACAATCCAACAATTTTCAGTCAGGTCATCTGGACAGTTTCTTTTTTTTTTTTTGTGCTGAAACGTTTCACCTTCCATCCAGAAGGCTTCATCAGTCAAAGAAACACACAACACAAAACTGATTCTTCCCCCAACAGCTTACTCCAAAGTGGAACAAACCAGGACTTTGTTGGTTTTGAACCAGTTTGACATGACTGAATGTCGACGAGGGAGAGGGTCGGGACCAGAGGAGGGGGCGTGCCAAAGAGACCATCTTAGCACCAATATAACTGGTTTGTTCTACTTTGGAGTAAGCTGTTGGGGGAAGAATCAGTTTTGTGTTGTGTGTTTCTTTGACTGATGAAGTCTTCTGGATGGAAGGTGAAATGTTTCAGCCAAAAAAAAAAAAAGAAACTGTCCAGCTGACCTGACTGAAAATTGTTAGACATTTGACACTTTATCTGTGCTGCTGATTAGCCATGCTGCTGATTTCTTACCTATAAGCCGATATATTCATACCCATCTGCTCACAATACTCATGTTCAGGTTGCGGTTTAAAATACCTTATTTATATTATTATTAGTGTATATCTTAGATCCTTGTATACTGTTATTTTTATTTATACTTTATAAATATAGCTTTCTTTGGGTGTAACTGGGAACCTGAGAACACAATTTCATTCCACCTCATGTACCACATGTAATGCGAATGACAAAGTCTCCTTGAACAATGTGCCCAAATATTGAGTATTTGGGTTCTTAAATTAAATTCCCTCTCCTGTGTCACACTGTCAGACGGGAGTATCACATCTTTCTCTCGATGCATTGCATGCTTTCAGCTGGAGACAGTCGTTTGATTCAGACCGTCTGCGCCTCCTTTGGCTTTGAGAGTTCAGTGATGGATCTAGATATTCTGATGATGAGGGATTTTCAACCAAGTCTTGTTTCATTGTCACTCCATCTTCTGAGATTCTCCATCTTCTCACTGCAGAGTGAAAATATCAGAAGCAGGTATGATGGCTCTTCTGCCATGGACCCAGCAGTGTTTTGTTTGTTTTACCACCGGGGCACTGCAAAGGGGCAGTGAATCCTGAGTTACCGTGACAACAAACAAATCCCTGACGGTGTGAAATAACCTGCATGAAGTTGCCCCCCCACCTTCTTCAAATCTAACGAAATTGGTGTCAAATGTTTGTGCAGCAAAAATTTTTGTTTGTGCCGTTATCATTTTAAAGAAATTAATAAAAAAGTTTCCAGGGATCATCAGAGGTCAACCAGCCCTTCATTTACAAAATCAAAAAATGGGTGTCAGTAAACTCTACCACGTTTGTGCTGCTTTTGTTCTGAACATATACTGAAAGTTTAAAGGTAAATAGGTCAACCAGCCCCCTCGGCCCACCCCCGACACTAACCTTAACCCAACATGAACAGATTTTCGTTGACCTTTGATGACCTCTGGAAAATATTTTATTAACATCTTTGAGATGAGAGCGGCACAAAAAAAATTTTAACTGCACAAATCAGCACAAACATTTGACCCCAATTTTGTTAGATTTGAGTAATGTGTGTGTGTGTGGGGGGGGGGGGGCTCGTTGACCTTTAAACTTTCATCAATATCTTCAAAGCAGAAGCAGCACAAACGTAGCCAAGTTGACGGACACCATTTTGTCTGATTAGAAGAAAGTGTGTGTGTCTGTCTATTGGAAGGGGGGTGGGGGGGGTGGGCTGGTTGACCTTTCATGACCTCTGGAAACATTTATTAATGTTTAAAATGATAGCAGCACAAACGAAAAATGTTGCTGCACAAACCAGCACAAACGTTTGACACCAATTTTGTTAAGATTTGAAGAAGGTGTGTGTGTGGGGGGGGGGGGGGGGGGGAGAGACAAATTCACTCAGGTTGTGAAATGTGACTATGATAGTGAGCCATATATGGTCACGAATATTCACAAAGCACTTCCAGTCTATTTAAAACATCATTTCTTAGTAAAGATGAACAACTCTAGTGGTAGCTTACAGCAACATCAGGGCGGGACCCAGTCCCCACCACAGCTACACAGACTTGGACAGGGGAAATAATCCTGAGAAACTCAGACAGCTGTTGGTTTGGGGGGACCCATGTAGCCTAGATACTGAACAGAGGAGCAACTCTTTGGACTGGGGGCAAGCTATTGTCAGGACAGTGGAAACTCCAATCCCATAGGTTGGAACAAGTCTAGCAGACATATGGCAGGGCTGCAGATCTCAGCCTCTTGGGAAAACACCCATTGTCTGCTGTTTTTCTCCCTGTCACATGCAGCTACACCACTAGAGGTGGATGCATGGCCAAACATGCCACTGTATGCTTCCCCACCTTTCAGTGTGATTTCCCCAACTCTGATCAGAATGAGAGAACAGGACCAGTCATTGATTTTGGTGTCCTTGTGGTGGCCATCCTAACCCTGGGTGGCAGAGAACACGGCCCTTCCCTATTTGCAGGGATATTTTGTTTCAGGCAATGGGGTAAATTAGTCTCTAGTATTACCCCCAGACAGACAGCATGGCACTCTGGGCAAGGAACATAAAATTTAGAATTTAAATGAGGCTGACCTCCCACTGGAGGTCACTGACACAATTCAAAAAACAAGGGCCTGCTCCACCTGTGGGAGACGGTGTGTTTTCTAACAACTGTGTGGAGAAAGGCACGTCATTTCTTTGACTGTTCTCTTGTGGATGTGTTCTGTTTTCTGAAGAGTCTGTAGGAAAAGGGGAACGCTTCCTCTACCACTCTGGTTTATCTTGCAGGAATTCCTGCATGTTGCACTGGCACTGATGACAAACTTTTTGGACATCACCTTTTGGTGCGTTGCTTCATTAAAGACGCACCAGTAAGCTGCCAGTCTCTAGGCGTCTGGTCCCAGTGACGAGCTTTCACGGGTGCTGGAGGCCCTCAGTAATCATCCTTTTGAACCCATAAAGGGGCAGTAAAATTTGTCTCTTTTAGGACTGGTCTGCTCTTAACTTTCACCACAGCTACGAGAGTAAGTGATTTGTGTGTTTTATTCAGTTCTTACTGTTTGCAGTGGGAACCTGAGCTTTCTATGGTGCATCTGAGGGCCAATCCGGCTTTTGTGTCTAAGATTAGGGATGGGGTCGATCCGATCCAGTATCGGTATTGGCCTCCAATACCAGCATAATTTACGTATCGGATTTTTCTGATCCACCAGCCGATATTTCCGATCCATGATGCATGTTGGCTTCAAACTATGGAATGGATTTCCTGAACTGCGGCGTGACTCATGAACCCAGAGTAATAAGACTCGCCTCACATTCAGGAAATCCAGTTCATAGTTTGCAGCCAGCTACAACGTGAGGACTGAGTTAGCAGCACTGTGGCTAACAGCTAACAAACTTTTCATCTAAACATGTCCGCTGTGTGGAAGTATTTTACACTAAAAACACCACAAGACAGCATCGTGCAATGTCTGCAGAGCAATAGCGCCACATTAAACCACGTTAAAGTTAGTTTTTCGATGGACATTTGAGCTCAGTGGCTTCAGCGTGGCACTGCTCTTTGGTCAAACCGAAAGAGGCGACTCGACACCGGCCAGCCACGTCCAATCTGCCCCGCTCAGTCTGCCCGTCTCTGAGGAGGGACAGACTGAGCGCGGCTGCCCCAAATCAGGCTGCCTGCTTCGGATTGAACAAGAAGAAGACGTCGCTGAAACCCCGGAGCTCAAATGTTTACAGAGAAGTTGCTAAACTTCATTATAATTAATGACCAACCACTATCAGTTGTAGAAAATGAAGGATTTCTCAGCTTGATACTTGCAGCCAAGATATAGTTTACCCTCCAGGAGATATTTATCAGTACAACAGTAAACAATCATAAAAAACATGTGATTTGAAAATTATATATATTAAAAACAAACAGCTACATTATAAAGTGATGTAAAATACTAAAAACAGGAACATGTCTGTTGGTTTATGCCATGAACTTAGCAGATGTTTGAAGCCATTTAACATTTTATTTAATTTAATTCATTTATTCATTCATTTAAATGAAAAAAATTTAAAAAAAATAATCAAAAAGAAAACATTGAATGAAGAGTGCAGAAAAAAGAAAAAAATTCTTATATCTGCCCCTAATTTAAAAAAAATATAAAATAACTAAACAATCACTTAAATTAATCACTTTAATATCCACTTTAAAGCTAGGAATAAAAATAAATATGTTTTGTGTTAGAATTTAACTCTAACTTTAAAACTTATCCAACATTAATAAAACTTACCTCAAGTTGCCTTTTTGGACATGCATGCATAGATTTGTACAAATTGTACTTGAGAGGAGATTATTACAGCCTCATATAAAATCAATGATGATCATGATATCGGAACTGGATCGGTATCGGCCGATACTCAGAGCTAGGTATCGGGATCGGATCGGAAGTAAAAAAAAAAAGTGGATCGGTGCATCCCTATCTAAGATGATGGATTCTTTGCACAGATATTTTTCACTAGAGCTGCTAGCTTTACACTCATCTCCATTCTCTTTCAAAGAGGAGTATTAACTCTCTGTGGCCTGTGCACACTCACAGATGATGTGAACAGGACAGTTGGTTTCAGCAAGTCAGACCACCAGTTTGTTGGATGAACAGTTCATAAAGACAAACCAGTGTCACACCAGAGACTAGCACACAGGACTTGGGATAAAAGGCCTCTGCTAAAGCTGTAGGGGTGCAGAGTCTCCAATCTGTGTGAAGAGCCATTCCACCAAGAGCACGGTCACATCACAGACCATTTCAAGCAGTATCTGTCCAGAACATCTGTGGCCACACCTCAAACAGTTATGTGTTTTAACAGCCTGGATGTAACTCAGCCATTCCTAACACACTCAGTGAGTGATGATGTTGGAACCTCAGAGCCTGACTAATTGTGGTTCAGGGTAATTGTTGTTTTGGCTTCGGGGCTTTCTTTTAATACGAGAGTGGGTTACATGTCCTATAGAAAAAAGCAGGTTGGATTACTTAACATAAACCCTAGTGGTCTGATAATAGAATAAGGGGGTTTCACCAACACTTCCCCTCATGCAAGGGTATGGAAAGAAAACGGCCTAGAATGAGGATGCGGACGTTGATCGTGGTAATTTGAGGTGGGAGGAGCCACATGCATTGCTCAACTGCTCTGTGAAACACTTCACTTTGTTATCAAAGAACAAGTGTTTTTTGTTAAGTAACAACATTTAGTAAAAAGGCATTTGATAAAATTGATAGAAAATCTGTGTCCTAAAGAGGGTTGTGCATAAGAGATGCCCTCACAATCTGACAGACTTGACATTTTATCATAATCTAACTTTATTTTACAACGCAAAAACCTGGCATTTGAACAGGGATGGTTTAAATCCATTTACTAAAGTATATTATTCTAGTTTTTTCCAGCACTTGCAGAAATAAACTGTTTTTGTCTGCAATTTGAGTTTTGAATATTTCTCATTTCATGTCAACCATCAAATCTAATTTTTGATTTCAGCGAAATGATGCAGTTCAACAAAAATGACATCAAGATAGAAATGCACACCTAGATCCACCAGAATGGCATGTTGCTGTGCAGTGAGCTGCTTGAGTAAGTCTTGGTAGAGGATGTCCGGGGCTTGCTGACGTTGTGGCAGTCTGTGCTGCAGTCGATGCTGGTGGGACAAAAACAGCCAGACCTCCCCGCGCCTGCTCTTTGGAACTCCTGCAAACAAAAGAGAACTCTAAATGTACTAACCAGACCGACCACAGCAACAGATTAGTATTTTAGTTGCTCATCTTCATGTTTGTTTTATTCCATGCCCACACACCCATGCACATCTCTTACCTTGGCAGAGTGCACGGTATATCTCCTCCTTGTCTTGTGGGTTTGTTGTTCTGCCTGGAGCAGACAGCTTTTTCTCCCACAATGCCTGAGCTTCCTTAGAGCACTGGCCCACTTCCTGGTAGTTGAGCTTCATTTTGCAGATGTGGAGCTCATCACGGCTCGCTTGAATGCAATCACAAAATCAAAACAGGTTTTGTTCAACACACGATTTGCATTTTGCTCTTGTTGCACTGGAAATAAATACCCCTCAGTTTGTACTTAGTGCTGAAAATGGAAAGCCTGTCATGTAAACACAAGGCACAATAGCCACAATGACACCAAAAGTCTGACCTTTTTAAATGGAAGATGTGAGGAGGCTACACTGACAAGGCAGCACAGAAGGATATGAGAAACACAAACACCATTAAGGATGACCCTTAACATGCAGCAGAGTGAATGACTAAGCCAGCCACCAAAATCATGCAAAACTTTTGCCTTGACCCCAAAAACACATTTATATACTTTGCTTACCTTCTTTAGAAAATAGTTATTCACAGTTAGGTCCTCAGACCAGCATTGAGGTCATAGTATCAAACAAAAGAAAAGAGTTGTGTTGGTGTTCAGACTATGATTTTAAAATAATAACAATTTACCAAAGCATTTTTTTTATAGCTCTGACAACTATTTTTTTATTATGAACCGATATGATATGATTTGCTGATTATCTATGGAAAGAGCTTTTTAAGCATTAAAAAAAAAAAAAACTAAAAAAACATTACAGTCACAAATTTATCATCATTAAAAAGTGCATATTTAATTCTAAACATTATTTTTAATAAGAAAATAGCAAATAAAATGTGAGCTTTAAAAAGCTTGACACAATTATGTTTTGTAAAAGTTGTATCGCAACAGTTTACTTGATGTTACTGTTGATTTACTGTCAAGGAGAATCAGCATCAAATACACAAAATTTCTGCTTCTCTGCACGCCAAAAAAGAGAAACTCTTAAAATAACCGAGCTCAAAAATGCTGCACATACTATGCAACATCACACCAGGAAAAATAAACAATAATGACAGCTGACAGTGTCTAAATGTTGGAGTAGTGAGTAGGTCTGTTGCAATAAACAATAAATCAATTAATCGCATGATAAATTAAAATGAGGTAGATAATTTTCATTTATCAGCTTTATCGTTTCTCCCTGTCTCTCTCTTTCTACTGAAAACGCTGGATGACAAAAAGCTTAACTCAGGTGTTCATCACTGTCCCCTCCCTTTCTCATTTCCTTAGCGTATGGGGGAGTGAACTATCGCGTCAGGTAGCCTACCGAGGCGCATCGTCTTGTACCTCTGCAGCATCAGAATCAAAATCAGAATAAGCTTTATTATCATTGTGCCAAGATGCAGGAGAAATCCAGAGAGATCCAGGAGAAATTGATAAGTTGGCATGTTTCGAGGCCAACCAGAGAGTCAGATTCAGATAATCCACAATTGTTGTTTTATTCAGGAAGATTATTTTTCTCTTCAGCCTTGAGTCTGTACTGATACTTCCAAGGTCCAAAATGGACAGATTAAGGTGCAATCTACTGGTCCGTGCTTACGAGCCTCTTCAATGTCATTTTCATGCTGACCTGCGATTCATATCACTTCCATCTTATGGTTTAGCTCATAAATCAGCTGATTTTGAGTCCTCAAAGCATGGACCAACCTCCACATAGTCAGCAGCCTGACAAGGGTCAAATTAGCTGTGGCCATTTTCTTTGTACGTTGATAAACCAGGAACCAGACAATTCCAAAAACAGGAAACCTGTTATCATAAATCCAATTATATGCAATTTTGGCATCCTCGATTGAGAGCAGAGACAGACACATCACCTCCAGAGATCTATCCAGCTGCACGTGTCGTCCGAGCAGATGATGGTTCTCCAGGACCCTGTCGCTTTGTTGAAAAGATTTTGTCATTTGTGTCGCAAGTCCATTTGGTCCGATCCAAAACAGTATCATTAGAGCCCCGTGAGGAGTTAGCAAGCTAAAGAACACTATTTGACATTAGAGGGGGAAAAAACTTTCAATTCAATTCAAAAATACTTTATTAATCCCAAAGGGAAATTAAATGTTGTTGTAGCTCATCTTGGTTTCATTAGAGTTGTTATAGATGCTGATGGCTTTGGGCAGGAAGGATCTCTTGTAGCGGTCCGTCCCACAGCAGACATAACTGCCGGTGTCAGGGGACAATCTTGGTCCTCCCACTGTCACGAGCCGCATTTCCCGCCACCTCCAAGATCGCGGCGGTCAGGCACCACCTCCAGGTAGACAGGAATGCATCCACGGCACCTCCTTTTCAACTCCTTTGGGATTTGGGGCTGTAGCTGAAGAATTATTTGAGCTTTTGAGATGTTAATCAGCAGCTCCCAGTAGTAGAAAACCACCTTGTTGTTATGGTTATGCATCATAACAAATGTCCAAAAGTAAAACAGTTTCAGTAAAAATCCTTCCAGCAGCACAGCATCTGATACCAGAGGAAGTAATCATCCGAAAAAAATCGATTTACATCCAGAAAAAAAAGAGTAATTAAAGTTTTCAAAAGCAAAATCTCAGAATGAATGTAAGAGAGCTACTCCAACATGCAGCCACTTTGAGCGGCGCAATTCTGGAATTTGATGAGTTGGTTCAGTCATCTGGTAAGGATGCTCCCTGGATGCCACCTTAGGGAAGTTTTCTGGGTATTTCCAACTGTGAGGAAACCCCAGTGAAGACCAAGGACATGCAGGAGAGACTGTCACTTGGTTGGCCTGAGAACGCCTTTGAGTCCTCCTAGAAGAGCTGGAAGAGGTGCCTGTGGAAAGAGATGTCTGGACCTTCCTGCTCAAGCTGCTGCCTCCCAATACTCGGCAGATAGTATTATAGTATATCTATTAATAGGAAGATAACAGATGGAAGAATGATAATAATAATAATCATAATAATCTTCATTTTTGACAACCTGCTTACCTCAGACAGACCTCAGACAGAAAGCTGCTGAGAACTTGTCTTTTCCTTTGAGCAGCTTCTTACACTTCTTGTGCATCTTCTGATTTTTTTTTAAACCTTGCAAGTCTCCCAAGTAACAAAATTTTGAGTCTTCATCACTCATAAAACATTTACACCCAAGATGCATTAATATCAATGCCTAAAATCAGTTAGGTATTGTGCATTCACAAAGTGGGACATATTTTAATCTAACATTTAGCTATAATGATTTAATGGACAAGGGTTAAAATATTTTTTAAGTTTCAGATTGTCCTCTTACTTATTGGTAAGAATTATTGTAAGAATGAGGAAATTTCTGCTATTTCTTTTAGTTGTTTATTTTATGTGACCAAGAAAGGATTCTTGTTACGTTGAAATTTACCTTCTAGTTTCTGGTTCTCCTTTTCCATGCGCAGAAGTAGGATCTGCTGATGGATGGCGGTCTTCCACAGGGTCCGGTAGTCGGCTCCTGTCTTTGTAAGCCTTTCATCAGATGTCTGACAGTGGGCCAGGGGTAAAAGACGCCTCAAAGGGTCCAAACTTGGGTCCAAGGAGCGAGGGGAAAGGGGCAGCAGCTCGGTGCCATCAGGTTGGTCTACAGCAGTAAATAGAAATAATTGAAAGAGTTTGGCGTTGATGGCAAGTCCACAAAGTTTTGTACCACAACAAAAATGTGCAGCTCCAAACAACAGCTTTTAACTGAATAATTCATAAACCACTGAACCACATTTTAAGAAACCATCAGAAAGTCATCATTGGATGTACATCTACCGGTATATTTGACTAACATTTGAAGTCAACTAATTTCAAGATGGTTACCACTGGAAAAAACCATAGCCAACACAAAATGACTGTAACGACGTCAAATATGCAGACATTGAAATTAAATTTGGTGTGGTAGTGGCTGAGATTTGTCCTCACACAATATCACATGGGGTTCTGTCTTTTTTTTTTTTTAAACATAGCTATAACTGTCCCTTCTCAATATACAATGAACTTTGCTTAAAACTCTGGAATAACAGGTGGCTCATGACATGCATTTCTTCAAGGAATGCTAAGTAGGGCTGGGCCATATATCGTTCACAATAATACCGGTAAAAAAAGCTTGCCTGGGAAAATAAATGATACCATGATATGCTAATTTCATGACGTATTACATCAGGGCGCCCCGGCCCGTTAACAGAACCGAGCGCGCTGAACAACCGAACCAAACTGCACATCCCCCTTCCAGCTGTGGTACTGGCATAACGCTAATTAGTTGCGTGCAATACTAGCTAGCTAAAAAGCTCAAAACAAACAACGCGCAGCTCCGCTGTCTCTTGAGTTCTACAGTCCATGGACCAAGAACAGAGGCAGGTGATCAGAGACAGAGCATCAGAGAAATGAATCATTCCTGCAGGAACAGAGGAAGCTGAAACACCACAAGCTTCAGGGTCAGCTGGTCACCTTGTTACAAGTTCTGGAATTATAGCTCATTTAAAGACAACATATATTTTGTTGTATGTTACATTTATGCTCAACAGATCTTAAGCTTAATTTTATTAATTTTGGGAAACTTCACCTGCACTTCAGTTTTTGTGGTGGATTTATTGATCTA